GCACAGCACACACACGTGTTAAAGGTCACCACACTCAGCCCTCACGTATTTTGGGTGTGCAAAATACCTGAGGTTAACTTTTTTATTGCAGGATCTCAGCCATTAGAGTCCTGCATTGTGTTTTAGGTGCAGTTGTTTAAAAACCAGTGCACATTTCCTTTCTATTTGAAACAAATTGATTCAAGAATCCTGTAAGCTGCCATTTAATGATACACATGCAGGCGTCGTTGCTATCTACCTGTCTGTAGGATTTATAGGTTAAAGGGTTTATAGCGACAGTTGTTGTATAATGTCATTTCCTGTAAAAAAACAGAGACAAGAACAGTACAGACTGAATCATAAAGATTTCACAGGGAAGACATCTGAGGCCACTTTACTGCACTGCTCCGATAATTGGAAATGACAAAGCTGCCCCAGCTGTTTGCTAATGCAGCTGATGTGCAGTGATACATCATTGGGATGCCGTTGTTGTGTTGTTTTTATTGAGAACGCTGAAGTGGTCTGATGTGACAGTGTGAGTGAAGATCCTGGGAGACAATGGACTCGCTCAAGGTCATATCAGAGTAGACATTATGGGCAGAGCCGATCTGACTGTCTGAGAAGGAGGAGGAGGAGGAGGCACAGAGTGGAATAAATACAGTATATTCTCCCTGTACTCTCCATGCATCTTTTCTCTGGACTCCTCTGTGGTTAGCATGCTGGGCAGGGCCCTCTTAGACACATTCTTCTTTATATTTTAGATGACTTAATGGTCTGCACTTACCGGCAAACATTTGCGCCGTTGTTAGCATGCAAGCTTCACTTGCACAGCATGCTTTCCGCTCGTCCTCTGTAAAATGGGTGTTATGCATTTGGGAGCAGCCTGCACCAAACAACATAATTCTATGCCAGCAGGCTCTCCAGGTGATGTATGTCCTTCAAACCTCCAGAGAGTTACGAGAGGATGGGATGGAGACAGAATGTGGATCCTCTGGTGTCCTTTTGATGGCATCTTTATTACCTATTTGTGACAATCAGATGGAAAGCCCGTGAAACTTTGAAGGAAGAAGTCTGCGTGCTTGTTTCTGTGTCTTTATGTGTCTGTGCACATGTATACGCATGCAAAAGGGGAGGAGAAGAAGAGGCTGAAGCAGTTGGTGGTGCAAGGGACGATCTATGGACAAAAAGGAAAGGTTAGGTAGAGATAAATTGGACATGATGAAAAGAAGAAAGCAGAACGGAAGAGGGAAAAGGAGGCTGGGGAGGAATGAAGCACTTGGGAGGAGGGGGCATCTGATTAAAAGCGTATTTTTTCCCTCCCAGGGGTCAGGCTGTCAGTGCGACTCGATGGCATTTGTTGTCCCACCTTTCCACTGTGACCTTACATTAAGCCAAGGGGAAACAAGAGACGAGCACACAGGCTTGTCATCAATATCACATCTGACACCATCTCTGTCTCTCTCACTCTCCCTCTCTGTTTGTCTGACAGGGCTCCCTACTTCACAGCCTCATGCACAACCACGTGCTAAATCTATAAAATAAGCCATGATACTGAAACTGCATGGCATTTAATGCAAATTTGTTCTCGGGCTAATTTAATGAGCTAATCTATGACACATTTGACATTTTAGGAAAGGCAGCAATGTTTTTTTCCTCTTTTTTTTTTCTTCGTCTGATAATCACTGTTTAAGGTCAGAGACAGCTAGGTGAATGGTGATTTCTGCCTGTCAGGTGCAGGAAAGATTTATATTGTTGTCTGGGTGCAGAGGAGAGCTGTCAATCATTTATAATACAGCCTGTCTGAAACAATGTCTCTCCAAAGCTAATAGCTATTAGCAAATGCATTTTGCTTTTAGACTAGGATTTTCAGTATAGATCTTTTTTTTTTTACCCATGAATTTTCCAAACCTGTTGCACCAACATCAATAGATCTGCATGTTTATGGATTCCACACTGTAGTCCATATTTCTATGAATATTTGATAAGACATTTTCCATATTTTATATCTTGTCGGAAATGCATCAATTCTTACAAGACAAAACCTGATGGACACCTTCATCTTTTCTCTGAAACCTCTCAAATTCATTTCCTCCTCCTACATTGTCAATCTTTTATTACCCTTTGTGAATGTGAGACAAAAAAAAAAAAACTCCAAATGATGAATTCCCCAGTAGCCCGTCTCAGCCGTCCTCCCTCTGTGTGATTGTCAGCATCGTTTACCCCTGCCATATTTTCTCACTTTGCTAATTTGCCCGCAAGGTGAGACGATGCCGGGAAGCTCCTAAAAGTCCTCTGGCTCCAGATGTCTGGACCAGATGTCCCATTATTTCTGCACTGGTCCTGTGATTTTATTTTTATCTGTTTCCAGCTCTTTGCACCTTTACTAACCCTGGCCTCCGCACAGGCACACACGTACACACCTCGGCACACATGCCACAAAGACTGTTGGACACAAGCACCTGTATGCAAATAAAGTCATTGACCAAAACATCCTTTGGGATTAGTCCCATTTTTAGGGTTCAAGAAAACATCTTCTAATTAAAAGCGAACAAGTAAAAGCAGTGCGCTCTGAAATTTATCTGCTTAAATCAGCATATGTTACGAAACCTTCCCAAACAGGATTATTGATTGATGACAACCAGTGTGTCGCAAGGCTGTCTCTTGAAGGTATTTAAAGTCACATTTTACTTTGTCACCTAATTGAAAACATACATATCCCATAATAGCATTTTTTTTTACACAGGGTAGCCTACTATTTGTAACTCTCCAGCAGCAACAATGTCCCAACTTTAACTCAAACCGTGTTCTCCTCTGTGGTTCTCCCTTTCTCCATCGCCTCCATTGTTTTGTCCATTGTATGCCAGGGAGGTGGCAGGTTGTTCCCATGCAGTGTTGCCTTTTTTATGAAAGCTGTAGAATATGCAGGGTGCTGGTTTGGCTGAGTGGTTGGATCATGTCGCATACACTGGTTTCACTCCTGGCTATGACTCGATGTTGCATGTCGTCCTTAATCGGAAGTAAACCCCATTAAAAACCACCACCACTTCAAATTTCCAATGCAACTACCTCCAAACTAAAGTTTTAGCTTCAACTTGTCTTAAACGTTCCCTCAGCCTCCTTACCCTCTTTGGCTTTGCTTTTCTTTTTGATATCCTCGTTTTACTTTTTGTGGAGAGACAGCTGTTCAATAACATCAGTCACTTGGCTCTTAACTGCCGTCGCAGGGAAACCAAACCATTTTGCACATATAGAGGAAGTGAGCGAAGCCTCAGAAAGACACTCCGTCTTTCTTGAGATTTTAAGTTTAAGATGACATTCATTTATTTAGCTTTTGGAACCTAAGACAGTTATAACCCAAAGGAACATCAGAATAGAATAACCATACTATATTATGTGTGATAATATATATTAAAACATAGAATATTCATATATATGATTATTTCAGTTAGGGCTGGGCAATATGGGAAAAAGTTTATCACAATATTTTTTTATATCACTCGATATCAATATATATCACGATATAAAAAAATCACTTTCCCTGTTACTCTTAAATGAAACTTAACAGTGTTGATTGGTAGCATGTCTACCAATAGACATGCTGTTAGATTTCATTTTTTATATCATGATATATATCGATATCAACTGATATAAAAACATTAATCATAATGAACTCTTTCCTATATGGCCCAGCCCTAAGAAAAGCATACTGATTATTTTTCATATCGATATTGAGGGAAATTAATTTTAGATATATATTGTTATCGTTTTATTGTTCAGCCCTAATTTCAGGCTCATCAAGTGTCCTTCCCCCACCAAAGTCCCAAGTCCACTTTTCTCACCACTATGATGCTTATGTTGCTCATTACCCACACAAGTGAATACACCCTAAAAGTAATGTAAAAACAGCAGTTTAGCTTCATATAAAATCTAAACTGTGTTGTAAAACTATTGACTTTTTAACAAGGAATATATCAACAGTAGATTTCCACAACTTTCCTCCCTGTTTGGGTAGTTAGACAAGTTTTTTGTCAGTGCTGCTGTGTTGTTCATTTTTGTCTGACAAGCCAGCAGCTTGTTGACTCAATGTCCGAGCCAAAGTCTCTGCATCAATATGGAGACTGGTGAGTAATTCCTGCAGCCTTCTGTCAACAGTCTGAGCCCCACACCTGTACAAAAAAAAAAAAAAATCTTCATGTCCCAAAATGCCTCGCTGTTGTCAGATTCACTATAGTATGCTTTTGCAGGACTAGGCAAAAAAGACCCAGAAATGTCTTTTTACATTTATTTTCATGAGGAGAGGTAAAATGTAAACACTTTTATGAGGTAAATACAAAATTATGATGCCTACAGGCTCACTTTTATTCTCTGTTTGGTAAAAAAACAGCAAAGTTTATTCACACAAGACTATGAAGGAAGTGTAAGAAAACAACACAGACAGGATTTGATTTGCAGCTGCTGAATTTAAATAAAATACTTGCTGCGTCCTACATTAGAGCACAAAAAATACATAAATGTCCTCAGAATCCAAAGTTTCATGAACTTATTTCTCTATACCTCATCCTGCCTAAGAGCTGCCCTGAGACAACATGAGTTTAGAAAGAGCAGGAGGTTTTACACAGATTGAAGGGGAGGCAAAAACACTCATTGCACGCAGAAACTCCTGCAGAGCACAGGTGCACCTCATATTTCACAACCTTACACCTCACATTGCACTCATCTGTGAAACACCTTCTGAAATGTGCTTTTTGATCACATTGCTGTAATGCAACTGCCTGTAACTAATGATCAGCCTCCTTTGATGGCACCCCTGCTGAGCTGCTCACCACTAGATGGCAGTGAAGCACTGTGTTTGCGTCACCATTATGTGTTTGCTGTTGTCACTGTTGGTTGGTCCTATCTTATCTCCCCCTTAGATCCTTCTTTCCTATTGTAGCACGGGAAGATAAAACCTGCCAGTGCAATCCGGTATCATTTAGGGATCTGTTGCTGCTGACAGCACAAGGATAGTTAGAGCGCAGATAGAGAAAGTGAGAGAAGAGGAAAGTGAGAGGAGAGGACAGAGAGAGGGGAGGCAGAGGAGAGACAGGAGAGAGAGAGAGGGCAGCAACAGCAGAGTAATTGGCCCGAGACGTGCCACTAATGCTGCCTCATCTTCATTGTATTCTTTCTTCAAGCACTACTTCTCCTCCCCTCTTTCCTGTTGTACACCTCCACTCTGGCCACCCCTCCCCCTGTGCTCTCCCCCGCTTTTTTTTCTCCCCTCTCCTTGACTCTCTCCTTTACAGGCACTCGTTTGCAGCACTTTCTGTCCTCTCTCACCTTCTCAAGTTCCCCGTCCCTCCCTTCCCACACACTTCTCCTTTCTCGCCTTTGCATACAGCACCACTTGGGTTTGTCTTCATCTGACACCTCTGGGGAATGAGCATCAGGGAGGAGCACCTTAAGGTCGGAGTGCAAAAAGAGCTCCCACAGGGACTTCTGCTCACTTCTGACCTCTGTGTGCTTCCTGCAGTCTGGTGGCCAAAAGAAAGCGTCTCAACACGGCTGCAGACAATGTTTATTATTTGTGAGAATATTGTTCATGAATCTGACTAATTACTCTAGTGTCTTTACTAATTTTGGGATCAGATTTAATGTTTTTTTTTTCAAAATAAAAGCATATTTAATATGTTTTGATCAACTCCAGCGTGTCTAACCCAACCTTGTCTTAAAAGCATGACGACAGGCCTGATCTTGTGGTCGAGCAGCTCTGCACACTAAAGTGGTTGATTCAACCGAACGACTGAAGTAGCAGTCCTTTGTACTACACAGTGGAAGCTAAAATGGTTTACATCAAAACCCCTGCAAACTTGCAGCTAGCAGCACTTGCAGGCATCATAAATGCACGGGTGTCCTCTGTGATGCAGGAACGACACTAAAAGCCCACCAGATAAAAGCAAAGGGGACGTATTCAGCGATTGTGCTTTATGGCCTTCATTTATAGCACCAGCCAACCCATGCTCTCTCCTCCTAGTCCGCCCGCCGATAAACCTGTGTGTACATGTAACATAATAGAATAACAATAAGGTTTATTCATAAGGCATTTCCCCGGGTTGAACCGAGATTTTACAATATCAGGGCTGCAGAGAGGCAAATAAAATCAGACATTTAAGAATTAAATGAGAGCCAAACTACAAGATGAATTAACAATATAAACTCTAATGTGGTATCATAAGGCTGTATTGTGCATTCAGCTGTTTTATAGTAACAATAACCCACAGCCTTGACCTACAAAACTGAACAACATTGCTCGACTTGTGCTCGCTCAGGCTGCTACCAACAACCCTTCAACTCCATATGCATCACTATATGATTTGTTTTACTAATACATAAAGAGCTGATCTCTAATCTTGAAGGTGGTATTGTTTTGCGTTCAAGCAACACCCCATGTTGCTTTAATACCAAAATGAGGGCAGAGCAATGATGAAAAAAGCTGTTAAAAAAGCTCTGAATTGTTAAGATTCATTGTTCTAACCTCAACCCACACAGACATTCACAAAAACACACATTTAATGTGGTCCTACACACTGCTCACAAGGGGGGACCCATCTGGAGGAGATGTTTATGTGTGTATGTTTGCGTGTGTGCGGTATAAGGTACATTTCTCTTGCAGTGTACCCTTAGGCCCTGGGTTACATTTGCTCCCATCCATCAACCAGATGAGCTGTGTCCTTTTTAACATTGCTGACAGCATGGAAAAAATAAACTCAGACAATATATTTATTTGTAGATTAGGACCCGAAATCAATAACCCCCTTTGGAGATGAAGGGTAATGTTGCTGACGGGAACAAGCTGCGCTGAAATTAGAATTTAAAAAGGAGGACTTTTTGATTCCCACAATGAGGAAACACTATCGCCCCACTTTCCACACAAACTCCTCTGTCATCGGCTTCTGACATTTTGAGTCTGTACCTTACGTGTTAAAGTGTGTGCTGCAGAGACGGACAGAGATAAACTGCACATGACCGGGTGAAAAAGGAGTGTGTGTTTAATGTATGTGTCACCAGCCACTGAAGATGTATACTCTTCTATGTTGGCTATCCGGCCATGTGTGTAGTTAGGGTGCTTTTTCAGCTGTCACCTTCCTCGCTCTATTACCTACAACAGCACAATTGTTGCTGTTTGTGCACAGCCCTCACTGTAAAGGATTGTTTCTTGGTCACATGGTGTGTTTGTTTGTATGCAAATATGGCTGTAATATTGTTTGGTGGTGGGGCCAAGCAGTGTTAATCAGATGTTTACAAGCAATACATAGTAAATGTCTGTGCTGGTTAAGGAGGAAAGAAGCTGTAGACGCCTGGGAGAGAATACTAAAACCACTCTTTGGATATGCACTATTTTTCAGAGATACGTACAGTGACCATCAAGGGCAAACATGCTGCAGCAGTCAAAAAGAGCTTTTTTTTGTAACCTGAAAATGTGTTTTGAATCCAAAACTACAATCCAGACCAGCAGACACATGGGGTACTTTTTCTCTTTTTGGGCGTTGTATCTTTCATGTAATTGTTTTGCATTTGCTGTAAAGGAATTTTCTCGGTTTTCTCTTTATTTGCAGTGTGGTTCTTGTTTACCTATTTTCTGGACTTATCAATCGTTTCTGAATCTCCCTCTTTTTTCTCCAAATGAAAACCTTTCAGGTCACCGCAGCACTGTTGCATTTTTCTGCCTCTGAAAAACTCGATGCAGTTTCGCTCTAATTATTCCACAACTCAACATTTCAGAGGGGGTACTTGTCTCTCTGCCTTTTAATTAGGCAACACAGTATTTCTATTAAAAAAGTAAAAAATCTTATTCATCATTTTGCAGACAGTGTTTTTATTTTTCCTCCTCAGAAGAATAACAACAGTGATTAATTCTGCAGAGCAAGAGTATCACCAGGGACAGCCAGATAATACTTCCTAGCAAATCAATCCACCAAAGGATTCAGGAGTTTTTCCAAGTTTATGGTTTCACCATAAACAAGAAATGCAAGCAAAAAATGCATCTTTCTAACCCCTAATTTACAGCGCATCTGGAATGGCTCCAATTTGGAATGGCGCCGTCCGCCAATTCCTACTGGCTGCGTTTGTGAGACAAATTTCGTGGCAGATTACGGAGGCGATAACGAGTTGTCTCTATAAAGACAGCTACTTAACCATATGAGCAGTAGGTTGTGTCCTTCCAGAGGAGGAAATCCACTTCTAGACATCTAGAATCAGCATCTCCTCATCCATGGTGGGGTGAAATACTGTCTACAAACATAATCTAATAATCAAAACTTTGTCTTAAAGCTCCAGTGAGAGGTTTTTGATGTTTATGAAATAGACTGAAATCCAAATTGATGGCTTTGCATGTTAAGTCAAGGCAAACAAAACCGTCCAAGATAAGACTGACAATTAGATTTAAAACAGTCAAGATGCCAGGAGACCTTGTGACCCACCGCTGTATACATACACAGTCAGTTTACACTTTTTTAACTGGCAGCCTGTGGCCCAATTCTGGCTCCTCTTTACTTTTTTAAAACTTTAGCTCATTCAGAGGAATCTGTACATCTGGAAAAAAAGCATTGCATAAAAATCTAAAACATGTTTCAAAAGATATCTCTGTACATTGTCTTGTTATCATATTTTCATACTTTGGGCTTTTCAGCTCATTCATTAGTTATATCTGCTGTTAAGCACCAAAATAAAATATTTCATAACCTTTTTACCCAGGCTGTTTAGGCCGGGGGATTAATGAGTCAAACTAGATTAACATGATGCCAAGTGCAACATTTGTGTTTACTTCAGAAGATTTACTTTTTCATGGAAATAAAGGGACAGCTAGCCCCTTGGCACTTATTTTTCAAATCAAGCCCCTTCAAAAAGGTAATTAAATAAATGTGGTATATGGCGCCCCGCTCTCCTTTTTTTTAAGTCTAATTGCTGGATGTAATTCCGTTTTCTGATGGCCATAATTTCTAATGAATCGAGACAAACAGGGAGCTGTCCAGGACTTAAAAGCAAATCTCTATAACCATGAAATGTTTCTAATTCATTCCTTTAAAGAAAAAGTGTTTGCCCACCCACCATGCCAGGCCATCCTCACATTTCCACCTCAGTGGTGCACACCAAACAACTTCTCCCTACCCTGCAGGAAACAGTTGCTGATGTGCCTCTATTTCCATCTCGATTCCCATTTGCTTTCAAGTGCCACTACTTCCCGTGTCTACGAGTCTGTCCATCTCCCTAGGGGGTGTACGCACATCTCCCCAGCCTCTCTCTATTCCTCTCCCTGTTTCGTTTCAGCAGACACTTTCTTAAAGGTCAGGTACCTAAGGGGCCGTTAAGATTGAGGGAGGTAAAAAAGAGGGATGAAGTCGTACCTGCAACTCGTAAACAGCCCAATCGCCACCTGAAGGACAAATGATACTACGGTCAAGTCAATGGGTCAAATGGGTTCTGCCATAGCTATCAACTGAAATAGGTTTATGGAGGTATGTATGAAAGGGAATTATGATTGGCTCAGCTGCTCAAGCACAAGTGTGACAGGATTTGATTGCATTCTGATTGCTTGTAGGTATATATGCATGTGTTCATGTATGTCTATTCCAAGGGGCAGTATTAGAAATGCAAAAAAAGGTAGCAGACTCATACTGTAATTTAACTTTTCCTATATGTTCATTTTCTGTCACCTTACTTCAGAAATGAACTACTGACGCTCGGCTCCTTTCCTCTGAGTTTCTTGAGCCCCTTTCACACATGCACTGCACTCCTGAAAATGTCCTGATATTATCTTGTTGGATTCGACAGGTATCGGACATCTTGCAGTTACAATTTCTATTCCAAAAAATAAACAGATAAAACACAATACCAACATGAAAACAGATGGTAGCGATTCAAAATTCAAAAACACAATTAAATTTAATTTAATTGAAAATAGTTCAAAAACAACACGACTGGATAATTTTATCGTTTTATGAAAAAAACATGCTTATCAAATTTGATGCCAGCAACACATTTAAACAAGGAAGGGACAGAAATAACAAAACACTGAAAAATTATTTATTTGCAACAGGTTAGTGCCATGATTGGGCAATCTAGAGAGGCTGCGCAAGCAAATAATTCAGTATTTTTATTCATGATAAAGTTTCTCATTGTAAAATTGTGAAGAATTCAATGATTTCACCGATATCAGTGAAAGAATTCAAAAACCTGAACAAAAAAAGACTTAAAAAAGCTGCACTGTATTAAGAAAAGACAGTACCATGAAGTGGATATCACTCCATGGGCTTGAAATTGCTGTCAGAAAGCTCTGTGCAACAACAA